TTGATGTCAGCTGCCAGGGCTGAACTCACCAAGCAGAGGAGGAGGATACCTATCATCTTTGTCTTCGGGCAGCAGGCTAGAAAGGTCGATCAACTGTTGGAATAGTTATTTCGTTGTGAAAATCGTTATCTGTATTTCAAGGTGTAGGTCACCTGATTTGCCATGTAAAGTATGTTAGATGAACACGTGACATTTAAAGTTGGTCACTTCCAATCAGATTTCCAGTGGCACCTATTGAAGTTACAGATAAGTGTAACTGATTGATATGTGTTCGCGATTAAAATCCCAGACTATATACTATCCGAATATAAAACAAGTATATAACTCGATCTAGACGCTTATTAATTTGGATGTCACCACTCACATGAACTCGCTTAAATAGCGAGACCTTCGCGAGAACCTTAGTACTTACGGTGACAAACAATTTTTCATACCTTTCGAATGGTCTCATTGTTGTCAGTTGACAGTAAGGAACCGATAATCCTTGCCGGAATAACACATTTCTGATCTAACCATCCCAAATTAGCCAACTATTACGACTATCAACAGCTGTGACAGCCAGGCATCGTTGTACACTTGGTCAGGTCTAGTAAAGTTATATTTAGCGGTCGCGCAATTTGGAACCAGAACTGGTTCTTGAATATACGCTTGTCACCGGAAATATGGTACTGGAGGTAAGCTGGGCCCCGTCTCGCACATCGCAAGTTGGCGCGCGCAAAGGGGGCCGGGTACAAGCTTAGTACCGGAAGTAGCGCCTCGCTAGACTAATGGAGGTACATGTCTTTAACAAAGAACAAGTGTATCCCAGTTGAAGCTTAATGGCCCACCCAGACTGTCACGAAAAATGCATCACCAATATTGAAAATGCTGGGTACAGTATGACCCGGGACATATTGTGATTGTAATGACACTCCAAATCCCAGGAATCTTTATTGTAAAGGCGACTCCTACAGTCTAACAGATCCCCGAAACTTTTTTCTCTTCCTCCCAACCCTCATGTAATGCTTTGAACCAAAGAAAGTCTTGTCAGTTTTAAAGGAGATCTTTCTTTGTATAAAAATAAGATATTTTCGAAAATGTTATTCTATGTTCGAACATGTATATCCCACTAAGGATTCGATATGATTAACGAATGAAGACTCATCACAGAGACAATAGTGCTCAGTGTGACGCTCAACAAACAAACAAACAAACAAACAAAACAAACAAACTGAAAATAGAAATCATTTTGTTTAAGCATGCAACGTTTTGTGCAGTAGGAAACGATGGGGAAACGTTGGCATATGTGTGAATAAAGAAATGACCAGTGACAATGCAGCGATTCATCTTACTAACGGCGTTGAATGTATATTGTAATGGGCATTTGGGTTTGCGTTCATTTGGTTTGATTATACACTGGCATTCCGTTTCGTAGCCTTGCCGGGGCGGTGGGGTAGCCTAGTGGTTAAAGCGTTGGCTCGTCACGCCAAAGACCCGGGTTCGAATCCCCACATGGGTACAATGTGTGAAGCCCATTTCTGGTGTCCCCCGTGATGTTGCTGGAATATTGCTAAAAGCGGCGTAAAACCAAACTCAGTCAGTCAGTCAGTCAGTCGAAGCCTTGCCTAAGACCCGGGTTATAATTGGTCTTCAGCAACCCGCTTGTCGTAAGAGAAGACTAACGGGAGTGGGTGGTCAGACTCGATGACTTGGTTGACCCACGTCATCGTATCCTAATGGCGTAGATCGATGCTCCTTCTACTAGGGATTGTTAAACTCAGTATAAGCAGTGTAACGAATAATACTGAGCCTAAGTTTACTTAGACTGCCAACTGTGCCAGAAATAGCTGAATCTACTACTGCTTTGGTTCACCACCCAAGCAAAATCTTTATGTACATAAAACATTCTTAACTTTTGAAACCTAGTTCGAACTACCGTCACTATCATACAGTAAAAACCTATTATAAGTCTTCCTAACATCCTTAAAATCTCTGACCTATTACCATTTGATTTTTGTGTACGAGTTACAGGGGTATAGACCACATTGACCTAACACATCATATGTAGGTGTCTTTATAGCCAGCTGTAGGAGCCTAATAAGGTGGTAAGGCGTCTACCTATCACGCTGAAGGTTCGGGTGAGGTGAAGTGAAATTGGGTTTTACTTCGTGCTTGAGAATATTTCGCTCATATGACGACGTGCATGCGTGTGTATGTGGATGTGCGGCTGCTTGTACTAGCCCAGACTTAAGCATTTGATTTTTGTGTACGAGTACAGGGTATAGACCACATTGACCTAATACAGCATATGTAGGTGTCTTTATAGCCAGCTGTAGAGCCTAATAAGGTGGTAAGGCGTCTACCTATCACGCTGAAGGTTCGGGTGAGGTGAAGTGAAATTGGGTTTTACGTCGTGCTTGAGAATATTTCGCTCATATGACGACGTGCATGCGTGTGTATGTGGATGTGCGGCTGCTTGTACTAGCCCAGACTTAAGCTGGTAAGATACCATGCCGCAGTGAAGCATGAATAACCCACTCGCTGAAGGTTCGATCCCCGATGGAGGCACCTTGGTTTGCGTAGTATGCTTGGACAAGATACTTGTATCCACATTGTTTCAGTTCACCCGTGATGATGTGCTGGCAATGTGAGTGTTTAGTTCATTGCTCCTAACTGGCAGCATGGGCCAGGGAGTTGAAACAGTATCATAGTGTCCCATGACCGGGGATAGTAATGTACGTAGCGCCTTGAGCAGGCAATGTGTCTGGGTATGAGCGCCATATAAGCGGACAATTTCTGTTAGTTTATTAGTTTCTTACAGTGTCATGTGTTACATGGTATAAAACATTTAGTCCAGATATACAAACACCGGGCCACAGAGGGCCGAAATGACACTATAAAATGTTGCAGATTAAACATTCAGTTACTATGACCAATATTTTGCATATTTTGCATGCAGTTATTTGTATTTTTCTATAGTTTCAAATTGTTTAAGAACCCATACTTGACAGCCATAAACACAAGAATCTATCACGAAAATATGTTAGTTTCGCAAAATTAGAAAAAAGATTTTTGCTGTAGATCGTTATCGTTGCTAAGGACACTAAAATCCCTTGCGCAACACCAGGAACAACGAGACATCAATTTTCAAAGTCAGACACCAGGCCAACCTATCTGTCATGGATGGTTGAATAAGTATTGAAATTCATCAGTCATTCCTACAAACCATAACCAATTGCTACAGAAATATTTTTATTCAGATTGAGGTGCAAGTTGCCTTTAATTCAAGGCTGCCGAAGCCGAGGTAGGGGCTACCGAAGTTACACTGACACGCAGTCGCTTTGTCTGGATGGTACAACTCGCCCATCTTGATGATGACGTCACCGTGTTTGCAGTTCAAGCCTGGAAGACAAAACATGGCGAACATGTGAAGCAGATTCATTAAAGACCGATTACGCCAGTAATACGACATTTGTACATTTGCTTAACTAACCGTATTGTATGTTTGGAAGATATAGTGATGTGATTTACCGTGTGCTTTTGTAACACTTTATGGAGCAGGGGGTACGTCGTATATTGCTGGCACTTATTTATACAAGATTCATGTTAATGGGGTTACCATTCATCTGACGAAGGGACATATTCATTAAAGGGATATTCCACTTCACATGCTTACACAACTGAATACATCTCAACCTAGTTGAGGGTTACCTCTTTCCGTACTGGCTCCCGAACAGGTATCGCCGCGTAACCGTTATCGCCAATACATCAGTATCACACGTGCGCAGTTCCGGTCAATTACAATTCCGGTATTAATTACCACGCTATTTGACAACAATAAAGGTGGCCGCCTCCGTGGTGTAGTGGTTAGAGCGTCCGCCCGGAGTGCGGAAGGTCGCGGGTTCGATCCCCGACCGCGTCATACCAAAGACGTTAAAATATGGTACTTGTTGGTCCCTGCCTGGCGCTCGGCATTAATGGGTTCAACAAGGACTGGTCGGCTCGGAGTTAGTATAATGTGTCTGAGTTGGGTATTCATGCTTCACTGCGGCATGGTATCTCAGTGGGCTAGCACTATAAAACCAGCTTCAGTCTGGGCTAGTACAAGCAGCCACACGTACACATACAAACGCACGCACGTCGTCATATGAGCGAAATATTCTCCAGCGTGACGTAAAACCCAATTTCACCTCACTTCACCTCACCATAATATTGTAAGTATCTAGTGTGAAGTATATCTAACCATTTCAGTTGGACGAAGAGTCGGGAAGGTGGCTGCTAATTATGCCAGATAACTTTACCGTCAGATTCAGGATCGCAAGAATTTCAGTTCAAGCTATAGGGCAGTATATAACTATAGGACATTATGTATCATTGTACATGATATAACAGTCGTCCATTCAATTATCAGAGTCCCCAGAGTCTTTCCAAGAGTGTAGTTCACCAAGCGATAAACGTCTGAGACATGCATCATCTCACCTCGCTGGGATGTCACGGGAATACTATTTAAGGCGGCGTCAAACTAACTCACTAACTCAGTCTTATAGCCAGAATACTCCCTGAGTTCCCGGTATTCCTTGTTTGGACAAGATATCCATTGCGCTTTGTGTTTGGTATTGTCGTATCATACTGATCCCACATTGTCGGGTGTGAATGAATGTTTAGTAATATAAAGTGGTGAGTGAAGCTTTGTGTTTGGTATTTTCGTATCATATACTGCTCCCATGAATGAACGTTTTAATAACATAAAGGGAGTGGAGTGAAGCAGACGTTACACCTCTTATAGAAGTATTCTAGCAACATCACTGTAGGGGACACCTGGAATGGACCTCGCACATTGTACCCATGTGGGGAATCAAACTCGGGTAATCGGCTTTAGTCACTAGGGTACCCCATAAGTGTATATCCCAGGATTGACTGGTCCACCCTCTTTTATATTCAGCCAGCCGTCATATAGCTGGAATACTGCTATACTGAAGACACATTATTATGACTGATTATGTGAAATGACAACTCGCGTATAGTTTAGAAGATTTATTTCTGAGGTATTAGAGACAGACTAGGCCGACTTGACACACACAGCCTTCAGGGCGTTGACACCGAATATTTGCGTGTTGCATTTACACTCGGTGTTGGCGTCGGGTTTGTAGACTTCTCCCTCCTTGATGATGTGATCGTTGTACTTGCAGTTCCTTCCTGCAACATCAACACAGACATATAATTATTGGTTTTCTGGACTCTACATGCATGGTCAAGACCATGGAATAGGCCCTACCGTTTTGGGGTAGGATAGGTTGACGAGGTTTACTTTTGTGTTGAGAATGACAAAACCCTGTTTGGGCACTGATGTCTCAAATGGCGTCGCGTAACTGTTATATAAACTGTGAACTGTAAATTGACGGATATAGCAAACTATCTTGTGGACAAGGTTACTCCAAATATTATATATGGAGCTTCTGTTATAACGGACTACAACCTTCAGCAACCGATGCTTTTTCGTAAAAGGGGTCTGGTGGTCAGGCTCACTGACTTCGCTGGCACATATCAGCATATCCCTGTTACATTGTTACATAGATTTGTGTTCATGCTATTGATTACTGTATGGTATGGTCCAGATTCGATTGTTTACACATCACCGCCATGTTGGATAATTTTGAATTCAACGTTTTTTAACATCTTTAAAAGCATGTGTGAGAAGTACAAATAATCACCGAAATTAATCTTGGCACCAATGTTTTTGTGTCATTTGAGGCCACATTCAGTAAAATCAGGATTCAGTATTCAACACTATTTGTAATACACTCTTGCATCACAGCTCATTGATGAAGTCAAGCAGGATCTAGAGACTGTCACTTCGATTTAACCCACGGACAGGAGTATGGCAATCAAGCAGGTTCTTGGTAATGTCACAAAGAACACATGATGGAAAACAGGTCCTTGACGAACACACACTCTATATTTCTTACCATTAGGACAATACTGGCAACACTGGCCATCCTTCCTGGTGGGATCCACACACATGACCATGGCACAGTCCACTATCATACAAGAGATGGCATTTCCCCCCTCCACACTTGCACGGCCGGCAGGGGGTTATTGCTAATGGTCTCGCCCGCATGATACGTTTTGTTACCAATGATGCAAAGGTCGTTATTGGTTGCAATGGAAGCAGCTTCACTGGTCAACAGTGGAAGGAAGCAGATGGATAGAAAAACAACATGGCTGAAATCTGTTGCCTGACTAACAACCAGCAAGAAAAGGATTGGCGACGTAGCCTAAATTAACGCAGATAAGATAAAGGAACGGCCTGAAGTGACATGTGGCTTGAAGGTGTTCACCATTCACTGCTGTCGTTTTATGTGCACCATGCTCAACATTACATTAAATAGACTTTTATTAAATGATAATTTTATATTTGAAAATATATCAAGCGATCATTGGATCTCATCACATCTCTTTGCAGTTTTCCTTTTAACTTTCCATACCATATGTATGAAGGATTAAACAGCCAGAATACATATTCTATATTTTCAGTGGATGACAGTTACAGAATTGACGAGCCTTTGCATCGGTTTGGGATGAGTACAACCATTGAGACAGAACACGCTACGATTATCATGAAGACGAGGCAATTTTATTGTTTTATAATAACTCCTACACTCAAAGATTCTATTTAAATATTTCAAAAAGCGTCCAACAACTCCAGTTCAGAAGTTGTTGAATCAAGATTACAACATTCAAAGCCCAAGCATAGTCTTAAAAAAGTTTCAATAATTGAAGGTCATTTCCGTATATAATGTATCAATGACAAGTATTGATGACCGATGTAATACACTACTTGACATGTGCTTAATGTTCGAGTGTTTTCACAGGTGGACAATTGGCTTTTCCTTTCTTTGATAGGCATTTTAGAAGTTGTAAAGATGAAGGAAAAGTTCTATGGATAGTCCACTTCTTTATTGCAACTCCGATATCAAGCAGGTGGCTTTTTCTTGCATGTGTTTGGCAACTGCACCTGCAGCTGCAATAACGGGAAGTGATGCAGATTCGGTGTAGAGCTAGGAATACGAATGTTCCGACCATTGTGAGGGAGAAGTGAGCGAGACGTTACATCTATACTCAGCAGCAAAACAAAAACGTCAGTACGAATTCAAAATTAGATAGGCGTCTATGCATGGAGTGCACCAATTGACCGATTGATGAAGGCCATTGGCACCTGGAACCAACCCTGAGAAAGGCCTGGCGCAATAAATCGGCCTTGATATGACATTATTCAGTCTCCCCCTGAATTTCATCCCAAAGATGGTCAACTGCGTTTAAATCAGGACTAAGGGCTGGCCACTGCATAATGTTGACACTGTTCTGCTGTAGGTAGTCCTGTGTAGCTCTGGGAGTATGGGTCCGGGCGTTATCATGCTGGGAAATGTTGTTCCGGTGACGTGCGAAATGTGGTATGACGTGGGGTCTTAGGGCTTGGTCGATGTAGCGGACCGCTGTGATGCCGCCTCCTCTTCCTGGACCAAGGTTCTGAAACACCACAGGACCCGCTCTCTTGTTCAGGCCTATTCCACCCTATACCATGATGCTTGCACCTCTTCATTAGTCTCTTTCCATAACACATTGGTCTGAGTAACGCTGGCCACGTCGTCGCCATGTTCGTGTTCTGCCATGTGCAGTTGATACGCAGTACCGACTCTCATCTGTGAACAGAAACAGTTCTCCATTGCCTGTATCGCCAGTGTTGGTGTTGTAGGGCAAACTGTAGACGTTCACGCCGATGACGAGGGGTGAGGATAGGTCCACAGTAAGGTCTACGGCAATGGAGGTTCCCGCTGTTAAGACGTCGGCGTACTGTATCAGTACTGATTGGTCTTCCGTGTGTTCCCACTGTCTGGCGTGCTGTTTCGGATGCCTGCATGAAGGGATTCTGTACATGCTGTCGCACAACATGGCGGTCTTATCGTCTTGTGGTGACCCTTGGTCTGCCAGTACGGGGGCGATCATTTGTGGTGTTGGTGGTCCGGAAACGTTACTGCAGCCCGTAGATGGTACGAACGTTGACCTGGAAGTGATTGGCAACGGCTTGTGCTGTGTGGCCAGCTTCAAGTCTTCCTTGCGCCACGTTCCTCTGAGCTGTCGTGAGAAGGAGCATCCTGCTGACGTTGTAATGTGAATGTTTCAACCAGGTTTGGGTGGTGCATTTTATAGGCCTGGTCCTTGTGAACAGCACGTGCAGCATGAGTTGCATGAAAAACATGGAGAATACCGTACCATCTCCGAGATCAGGTTGCGTTTTTGAGACCATTTCCTGGGTTCCATTCTGAGTTTGGGAAGGAATGTCTTTGCTCAGGTAAAGTTGGAGATGTTGTCAAAAATATACAATCAAAATATTAAATGAGTTTGCAAGTTTACAGTTATCCGTTTCTGCGAAGGAAAACTCCAAACTGATGTTTCTTTTGCTGCTTAGGATATAATAGGTCGTCTTATCTATAGGCATTTCTTGTTCCCATATTGTGGTCAGATAATCTGAATTCGGTGAAACCATTATGGTACTTAACAAACGATTGCGTCGCCTAACCTTTAAAGAATCTTGTAATTGAACAAAGGAACTTTTTACCGCGTATGAATATGCACATGTGAACGTAACAATATGAACTTCAAGCTAAATCATTGACACTTTTAAGTAAGCACTGGTACGTTGAACTCCAACGGTATTACAACAGGCGAATATACACAAATTGCAACACAAGAGCTGGTCAGTTCTAAATACACCGAGGGTATGAAATCTGGTATACGATGTCACGACGTGAAAGCGCCTGTTACATAACCAGCTTGTGGACAGATAGAGAGAATCGACGTTCATTGAACTTCTGTCAGGGCACCAACGCATCTTTACGAAGTCAAGTTCATGCTTTTGTCCCAGAGTAAAAGGAATATTAAGTTTATATATGACATCTAAATAGGCAACCTCCTCTTGGGAAGTCTTCCAGCCCAAATGACTAGCCAGAGTTATGAAGTATTTCTTTAAATAAATATACATACGATAGCTCAGATTTTACCTTTAAACATACACACTCTGATAAGCAGTTAAACTAATAGAAGCGCACTAGAAAGACCTTTCAAATGCGCTATAGATGTTAAGAATCCAACATTGCATAATGAATTTATGCGGAAAACATCTTCCGCCGATAGCACATTGGAGACGGAAATGACCAATATATACGGACATCTAAAGTACCTTGCGCAGCGGGCGTAAATGTGCATGTTATATTATCGTTGTATTAACTGAAAGTGCCTTTCAAATGCGTTATAGATATTAAGAATCGAAACATTGCATAATGAATTTATGCACAAAAACATCTTCCGCCGATAAAGTACATGGGACACGGAAAATGACCATTATACACGGACAACACTGGCAAAATTCTTTGCGCAGCGGCGTAAACGCATGCTGGCAAGCATCGTTAGAAGTACACTGGAAAGGCTCCTTCAAATACGTTATTATTGATATTAAGAATCCAACATTGCATATCGAATTTATGCGGAAAACATCTTCCGCCGATAAAGCACATGGCAATAATGGAAATTACCAACATACGCGAATAAGTCCTTTGCGCAGCGGCGTAAATGTGCATGTTATATCGTTAGAAGCGCACCGGAAAGGCCCTTCAAACGCGTTATAGATATTAAGAATCTAACATTGCAATAAAGGGCGCAAATGCGCTTGTTATGGCTATCGTTAGAGCGCATTCAGGAAAGACCTTTCAAATGCGCTTTATAGATGTTAAGAGAATCCAACATTGCCTAATGAATTTATGCACAAAACATCTTCCGCCGATATCATACTGAGCATCGGAAATGACCATTATATACGGACATCTAGCGTACCTTTGCGCAGCGGCGTAAATGCATGTTATACATCGTTAGAAGCGCACTGGAAAGGCCTTTCAAATGCGTTATTGATATTAAGAATCGAACATTGCATAACGAATTTATGCACAAAAAACATCTTCCGCCGATAGCACGTTGAGCACTGAAATGACCATTATACACGAACAACACTGGTACCTTTGCGCAGCGGCGTAAATGTGCATGTTATATTATCGTTAGAAGCGCACTGGAAAGGCCTTCAAATGCGTTATTGATATTAAGAATAGAACATTGCATAATGAATTTATATGCAAAAAACATCTTCCGCCGATAGCACATGGGACACGGAAATGACCATTATACGCGAACAAGACCTTTGCACAGCGGCGCAAATGCGCTTGTGCTACATCGTTAGAAGCGCACTGGAAAGGCCTTTCAAATAATGCTATTGATATTAAGAATCCAACATTGCATTACTGAATTTTATGCGGAAAACATCTTCCGCCGATATCACATTGGAGACGGAAATGACCAATATATACGGACATCTAAAGTACCTTTGCGCAGCGGGCGTAAATCGTGCATGTTATATGATCGTTAGAAGCGCACTAGAAAGACCTTTCAAATGCGTTATAGATATTAAGAATCGAACATTACTAATAATGAATTTATGCACAAAACATCTTCCGCCGATAGCACATGGGACACGGAAATGACCATTTTAATACACGAACAACACTGGTATACCTTTGCGCAGCGGCGTAAATGTGCATGCTATACATCGTTAGAAGCGCACTGGAAAGGCCTTCCAAATGCGTTAATGATATTAAGAATCCAACATTGCATACCGAATTTATGCGGAAAACATCTTCCGCCGATAGCACATGGCACACGGAAATTATCATTATACGCGAACAAGACCTTTTGCACAGCGGCGCAAATGCGCTTGTTATACATAGTTAGAAGCGTACTAGAAAGACCTTTTCAAAATGCGCTATAGATGTTAAGAATCCAAACATTGCATAATGAATTTATGTGGAAACATGTTCCGCCGATATCACATTGGAGACGGAAATGACCAATATATACGGACATCTAAAGTACCTTGCGCAGCGGCGTAAATGTGCATGTTATATTATCGTTAGAAGCGCACTGGAAAGGCCTTTCAAATGCGTTATAGATATTAAGAACTCGAA